CAGCGGTCGGACGCCAGAAAAACCACGCACGATCGCGGTCCGAACGGACCAAACCGGACCGGCCCCGCCGGCCGTACACTTTTTTTTAATAATAATAATTATTTATTATAATATATAATTAATTATGAATTATAAAAATAATAATAATAATAATGAAAAATTATAAATAATAATAAGAATAATAATAATAATAATAATCATTATCATAATAATTAGAATTAAGTATAATAATAAATATAAATTAGAATTAATTATAATAATTATAATAATAATTTGTAATAATAATTATAATAAAAATTATAAATAATTACAATCATAATTATAATTATAATAATAATTATAATAATAACTATAAATTAGAAATAATTATAATTATAAATTAGAATTAATTGTAATAATTATAATAATAATTATAAATTATAATAATAAAATTTATAATTTAAAATAAAAAATAATTATAATCTATTTTAATTGTTATTACAGTAATTATTACATATGAAAAAAATACTAATTATATTTTTTATTCAGGGTGTTAGCAGACCTGGACAATCTTCTGCCAGGGACGACGTGGAGGAGTTCGATGACTACTATGATGGTTCTGGCACCCGACACACTAGAAGTCGGGGTGTCAATGCGGCCGTTCGTCGGGAGAGGGACAGACATGCGATGATCGATGAGGCTCGGAGGGTACAACTTCTTCAGGCTAGGCAGAGTTCGAGACCCTCCGCACCCGTACGAGATGTCCCGCAGGGATATCATTTTGAGGGCCAGCCAGACAGTTCGCGACTTCCCAGAGTCGTACCGTACGGTGAGCATGGATTTTATTATCCTGGCCAGGCAGGCAGTTCGATGCCCCCAGCAACAGGACCGTACGATCAATAGGGATATTCTTTTCTCCGCCACGCAGGGAAGTCGATAACCCGCGCACACGCACAATTACCTTACGGTTAGCAGGGATATCCTGATGAGTCGTACGGCGAGAGGGAGTAGGGTTCATAGGAGTCTGACGAGGACGACTCTTCACATGATCAAGAACACCCGCACCACTTCCAGAGAAAGCTCCCACCACAGCATTTTGCCCGACCCACACATCCTACGGGTCCTAGCCAGCCTGTCCCTCTTGTACAGACTGTTCGTCCTGTACAGGTTATTTGTCCTACACAGATTGCTCCTCAGCGACAGGCTGGGGGGCGTTTTGGTAGCGTTGCATCCTCATCAGGTAAATAATTTACGTATTAATTGTTATAATCAATTAGTAGTAATATTACATAATAAATTAGTTCAAAATTTTTAGTATATTTTATTAATGTAAAATGTAACGTTTCTACATTAATTGAAAAAAAAAATTAATAAAACTTATGAAATATGTTTTATTTACTGCATCTTCCAGCAAGTGTATATATACAGATATGTTCTATTGTAATGCAGGTACTAGCAAACGAGCTAGGACCGATGATGATGCACCCTGGATCGTTAAGGGCCTTGTGGCCGGTGGGCCCATTGATGGGAGTGTCATCCCTAGCTTTCTAGGGCACGTCGCTTCCCGCATGTGGACTGAAAAGTTTAGGGATATCCTGAAATGCCAGAACCTAATCTGAGGGATTGGCGTGATGCTAAGTCTGACGATGCAAGAGCTTTGATCGCAGGCACTGGGCTGTCACATCTGGTGGACTCCATGCACAGCCACTTGGACACTCCACTGCTTTCTGCGTTTATAGAGTGCTGGCAGCCGGATACTAACTCTTTTCACCTGCCTTTTGGTGAAATGAACATCACGCTGCACGACGTCCGGGCCATTTTGGGCGTTCTTGTGGAGGGACCCGTGGTCATTGAGGACCTGGATTCAGAGTCCTGTCAGGTGCTCTGCATGATGATGCTTTCGACCACGAAGGCTGACCTCAAGAGTTCATTCTGGCAGCGCGGTTCGGTGACAGAAGCCTCCGTTGTGGGGGCATTTAAGGGGAAAGACCGACCGGCTAAGGATGAGGCGGCTGCCTGGATGTGCGTGATGCTGGCTAGCACCTTGTTTGTCGACAAGAGTGGTAGTAGAGTGAACCCTAAGATCCTGCACGATGTGCTCGACGGCTTGGATATAATTGGGGGTTACTCATGGGGATCGGCTACGCTGGCATACTTGTACAGACAACTAGGTATTGCCAGCCGAGGGAACTCCGTTGGACTGTCGTGCTGCTTGACTCTTCTGCAGTCCTGGATATATGAGTATTTTCCCGATTTCCGACCCCAGGGGCGTCTACCCATCGGTCTTGACTATGTCGTACAATCTTGCTCGTGGAGCGTAGGGAATGCGCCCAGGTCAGACGATCGGCTCACAGCCATCCGTTGGCGCCTTGACAGACTCACTGCCTCCGATGTACGTTAAGTTATTTTATTTTAAATTTAGTTACCCGTTATTTAAAATAATATAATTATTTTTATAAATGTGTTTATGCAATTGTGAACAGGTGCAATGGTTTCCATATGGCAGCTCCAGCCCAGATGCGATAGAGCGGAGGACTCTTTATTGCGGATTGATTCGATACCGCGATATTGTCGAGCCGTACTCGCCTGTGCAGTTTCTGCGTCAGTTGGGTATGTCCAGACTGTCCCTCCCCCTATATACCCGCCAATCACTACAGTACGTGCTTGGGAGTCTAGGAACTACAGGGTTGACCATTCTGAGGCTGCTGCAGTAGGTGCCTGGACCAGCTCCCGATGTCGCAGACGGTCAACACCAGTATGTTGACCCCCGCCACACATGATCGCGGGGAGGCGAATGAGGAGTACTTGCAGTGGTA